AATTATTTAGTTATTATTAGCAGTATATGTGGCAGTTGTTATTTTTCTTTCTTCCGATTGTTGTTTTTAGTGATCGTCAGAAAGAGTTTTTACTATGTCCAATGATTTTGAAAATGATTGGACATATAAAATTTTATATGTCCAATATTTTTTTTAAATCATTGGACATATGTCCAATGCCAACACTGTCTTGTCCAGTAAATTACTTAACCTTTCGGAAACTGTATCGCTGTCTTTGGATTGGAGGTCTGAAGACAGCGATATAGGTTTCGAAAAGTTTGGTAATTACCGGACGAGACTGAGAATATTTCAGGTAGCAGAAAAATTATCAGGTGTTCCAGGAATTATGATAATATGTGGACTGTCGTCAATAGAAATCAAGCAAATTGTTTTTATTGAAATTTTTTTGAAACTTTAAACAACAATAACTTAACAATAACTTAATTAAATTTAATAAAAAATTATTTAAATGAATCTCTACAAACTTTAGCATTTATTTTTTTTAAAAAAAAATTATTAAATTGAAATATTTTTGTTTAAAATTTCAAAAAAATTTACTTAGATTGATTTCTATTGATAGTAGCCATGTTAGCTTTAATAATTTCGGGTCGGGTTCGGTTCGGGTTGGGTTGAAGTGCTAACCCGAAAGTGTTTCAACCCGACCCGTTCGGAGCACTAACCACCATACTAAATTCAAAAGTCACACCATAAACACGTGAACTTAGTTTAGAGCTCAAGGCCTTAATTAGTTCGCGATTTCTTCGTTTCCTTAGTACATTTTGTAGGAGTATGAACTATTCGTATTGTCATCTTATGAAAAGTCTCACCTTCATCATCTTTGATCCACAGAAAATCTTGAGCTTTCGAATAGTAGATGCTAATTTAAAAGAATGTTAATTTTGTATTCTATATATTAAGTTTCTTCTGAAATCCATTTATACAAACCTCATAGTTCAATAAGCCAATCACGGTCTCATGAGCTTTTACCATATCTTTCCATGTTTTCGGTAAAGGAATTTCCATAGTGTAGATCTCAGTATGTGTGAGTTTAAATTCGTAAACGAATAGTTCATGTACTGTAAATACTAAGAGTTAGTAACATGTGATAATAACAAGCAATAATAATAACCGAAGGGTAACTGTAACCCCTATATCCTAACCAACCTAATATTAGAACTCGGTTGAAGATCTGCAAACTGGTTCATTAAAGTCTTGCATTTTCAGGATCTTCATCCGATCATCCTTAAAATGTTTCTAATCCTTTTTCATTGGAGGACCACTAACTTCAGTAGCAGAAAATTCTTCATTTCCTCTCTCAAAGTAATAATCTTATCAATCTTCTTTCCGGGAGATCAACGTTCGTCATCTGTTTTTTGAGAATCTACATCTTTGGCGCTTGCCTTAAGACATGTTTCGCTATAAGCAATACGCCAGTTCATTTTGTCTTTTATGAAGAAGTCACAGAAAACTGGTACTAAAAAATTGACAAGATATGTTCTTTTAGACATATTATCAAGAAACAAATTGATATCTTCCATCAAATTTATCCTATATAAATCTGGTCAGCCCAATGCAGATCAAACCATTATTAGTGGCAAAAATACCAATTGAATTATAAATGGGAGAAAAACTTACACAATATCAGCTAGAAAAAAATCTACTGAAAACAAAGCCAGAATATTATAACGTTATATTTGTTAAAACCAATGATAAGGACGTTCCTTTGGGACACTATAAGAAAGTACTGTCGCACAAATGCTTAAAGATATAAAAGAGGAAGTTTTTCTAGAACAGGATATTAAGCATTTGCTGAATAATATTATTGATTGTGATATTAAAAAGATCAAAGAAAGACGAAATAAGTATGATATTGATTCATTCGAGAAGAGATTGCGTTGCATTTCGTGAACCTCATGTGAGTCTACATTTTGCTTGATCTATATCAACTAGTGTGATAAAGCTAATGGGCTGACCAGATTTATATAGGATAAATTTGATGGAAGATATCAATTTGTTTCTTGATAATATGTCTAAAAGAACATATCTTGTCAATTTTTTAGTACCAGTTTTCTGTGACTTCTTCATAAAAGACAAAATGAACTGGCGTATTGCTTATAGCGAAACATGTCTTAAGGCAAGCGCCAAAGATGTAGATTCTCAAAAAACAGATGACGAACGTTGATCTCCCGGAAAGAAGATTGATAAGATTATTACTTTGAGAGAGGAAATGAAGAATTTTCTGCTACTGAAGTTAGTGGTCCTCCAATGAAAAAGGATTAGAAACATTTTAAGGATGATCGGATGAAGATCCTGAAAATGCAAGACTTTAATGAACCAGTTTGCAGATCTTCAACCGAGTTCTAATATTAGGTTGGTTAGGATATAGGGGTTACAGTTACCCTTCGGTTATTATTATTGCTTGTTATTATCACATGTTACTAACTCTTAGTATTTACAGTACATGAACTATTCGTTTACGAATTTAAACTCACACATACTGAGATCTACACTATGGAAATTCCTTTACCGAAAACATGGAAAGATATGGTAAAAGCTCATGAGACCGTGATTGGCTTATTGAACTATGAGGTTTGTATAAATGGATTTCAGAAGAAACTTAATATATAGAATACAAAATTAACATTCTTTTAAATTAGCATCTACTATTCGAAAGCTCAAGATTTTCTGTGGATCAAAGATGATGAAGGTGAGACTTTTCATAAGATGACAATACGAATAGTTCATACTCCTACAAAATGTACTAAGGAAACGAAGAAATCGCGAACTAATTAAGGCCTTGAGCTCTAAACTAAGTTCACGTGTTTATGGTGTGACTTTTGAATTTAGTATGGTGGTTAGTGCTCCGAACGGGTCGGGTTGAAACACTTTCGGGTTAGCACTTCAACCCAACCCGAACCGAACCCGACCCGAAATTATTAAAGCTAACATGGCTACTATCAATAGAAATCAATCTAAGTAAATTTTTTTGAAATTTTAAACAAAAATATTTCAATTTAATAATTTTTTTTTAAAAAAAATAAATGCTAAAGTTTGTAGAGATTCATTTAAATAATTTTTTATTAAATTTAATTAAGTTATTGTTAAGTTATTGTTGTTTAAAGTTTCAAAAAAATTTCAATAAAAACAATTTGCTTGATTTCTATTGACGACAGTCCACATATTATCATAATTCCTGGAACACCTGATAATTTTTCTGCTACCTGAAATATTCTCAGTCTCGTCCGGTAATTACCAAACTTTTCGAAACCTATATCGCTGTCTTCAGACCTCCAATCCAAAGACAGCGATACAGTTTCCGAAAGGTTAAGTAATTTACTGGACAAGACAGTGTTGGCATTGGACATATGTCCAATGATTTAAAAAAAATATTGGACATATAAAATTTTATATGTCCAATCATTTTCAAAATCATTGGACATAGTAAAAACTCTTTCTGACGATCACTAAAAACAACAATCGGAAGAAAGAAAAATAACAACTGCCACATATACTGCTAATAATAACTAAATAATT